AAAGGGTCCCCTGGCAACTCAAGAAAAATAAGTAATTCTCCCCATCACAGGCATGAATCAAGTGCAGTGAGTGGCACAACTGAGAAATCTAGATGACACATTACAGAAAAAATCCCCAAACAACAAAACATCTCCTTACCTCCTTGACTAAGGATTAGCAAAATAATTTAAAGCAGTAGAGTAAGACAAGATCTAGTCTTAGAAATCAATACAAGAACATATACTCACAAGAAATGAAAAAATAGTATTTAATTGTATCAAAAGACATATTACAGCTTAATGGAAAACTTAGGCAATTTTTGCAGTTTAGCTTTTGCAAAATGGGCACATGAATCAAATGAAGCGCCTTCATTCATAGGGCCTTAAAATATTTGGGTATTTTGACCATTTAGAACTAAAGAGGAAACACTGAATGCACTGGTACCTGTTTATTATTGTCGCTAGGAAGCTGCACAGAAAGCTCTGTTACAGGTCATTACCAGTTAGCAACCATTCCTCTGACTTTATCAGCTTGCTGCAACCGAGGACAGAGCTGCCTCTCTGCTCAGGCTGAGACAACCTCCATAGGAATTACACATGGCGCCAGTGCTCCATCATCCCAAACCATCCACAGTCCCCCTGGTCTGGGCAGTTTTGCCTTCTAATCCCTACAAACTAAGGAGACCCTTCCCAAAACAGGTGCATTCCAGCACAGCAGTAAGTTTTGATGTCTGCGAGGATGCCTCAAAGTGCAGACTTTACCTGCCAAGGTATTTGAAAAAAGGTATTTCCAAGTGTGCTTGTGAGGCCCACCTGAGGGCAAACAGTGTGGGACTCAGCACAAACACAGTCCTCTCAAAGATTCAAACAAGCTTCAGCTTTGTCCTCACAGGTAACATTCAGATAACATAAACTTCTTCACGCTCCAGCCAGGCTAAGCCTGTGACAAGCCACTCTGTAGGAATTCCCTGTAACAGCTCCTAAGGACTACCAAAGCTTGTAGTACAAAGTCAAAGACAACATTCTTCTGGAAATGCAAACCCTTTCCTGGGGTAGTTCGAAAGGCATTTCTAGCACAAACAACTATTTTTGCCTGATAAATCCTGTGACAGGATATTCAGCTTAGGTTACTCTTCTTTACCCTGATGGATAATTTAAATTAAAATCACTGTTCATTCAAGAAAAAAAGAATAGGTCTTAATAGAATAATATCAAGTTAATTTTCATTATACTCTGATATGATAAAAAACTGGGTTTTTATCACAGACATAACTATCTGTAATGCAAAGGATTTTCCACAATACATTTCTAACAATTACATCTCCCCTTTTTTAAACACTTTTACTTTAATATTCAAAACAGGTTCTTACAAACTAATTTTTGACATGACTTGCTGACTGGGAGTGAATTAAGAGACAAAATACAGGGCATATCAGAGAATAAGACCAGAGGAAATCCTCTGTTGTATATATGTAAGCACAGGAGAATAAATTTCATATGATCGAGATTAGGCCCAGCTTGCAGTACAGCTACAGCCTCGCCCTCCTCATAATTTGACATTTTCGTTGTTAAATTTTGCCTGTAAGACATAAATATGGTAGAAAAGCCACAGAACATGACTGATCAGAGGTAAAAAGTAGTAGGCCGCTCCCCTTCTAATAAGAATTAACTTTTTCACCTGCTAGGTAAAGGTTTAATATCCCTCTTATGCCTTGGACTATGGAAAACAGCATCACCAAGGTAAGCAGAGAGAACTCAGTATTCATTTAGTCACTGGAGTTTAAAAACCCATGGTAAGCAAAGGACAAACATGAAGATTTGACATGACAGGAGCATGACAGGTCCTTTTACTGTCTGCCATCCAATTTAATTTCTTCATTATGAGCTTGCCAAAAAAGAGCAATCAGAGACTTCAGCACAGGGTACAAATCAGTTCTGTTCTTTGTACCCTTCACCAATGGTATAATGAGTGAAGGCTGAGATAACATCCACAAATCACTTCAGTCTACTCTTTTTCTTTTGTTTTCTCAAAAACTATCCTTCATGCTGAAACTTCCAATAATCTTCTTATAACTCCAAGTTTAATTCAAAAGCATATTTCTAGAGAGATGGGGAAATGGGAGACTGTTTTGTTTAATCCTGTTCAACAGTTTATGCTCATAAGACAACGTTATCCAACTCTAAAATGCAGAGGAACAGGGCAAGCCAGGATACAGCTGACCACACTGGAAACAGTCTGAGCTATTATGGTTCACAATCTCACCTTGTAAATGCTCAATGGGATATTTAAACAACCACAAATGTCTAGGAATTTGGGGTTAATCAAAAGAAAAAAAAGCTCACACATACTAGTTACAGAATGTTCAACCATGTTGAGGGATAATCCCATGAGCCTGGCTTGAAATAAGTCTCAACACAGGCATCTGGGAAAGGAAACTGCCTGGGCTCTGGAAAAGTCAGACCAAACTCATTCCACAGGAAATGCTACCAAAGGAAGCTGGGCAGTTAAGAACAACAAATATGCAGAAAACCCATTCAGAATCACAAGGAAAACACAAGAGCTCAGGAAAAGCTAGGCACAAACTAGGGCCAGACTCTATAGCATTTTCGTCTTCCTGGTGCAGACAGAAAAATTAAAGTCATCCTAAAGAAAACTTGAGTGTATACAGCTGTCAAACCAAGCACTTTTCCATCCATCTTGATGAACACATACAACCACTTTTCAAGCCTTTTCCCCTTCTTCCAGGAAGTTTGCATCACTGGGATTGGTCACGCAACATTTAGAGCCCTGTACCCATGAACCAGGGCCACTCTATAAAAGCTTCCTCAAAGATTAACTCCCGCCCAAAGCCAACCAGTGCATTATTTGTATGAGCAAGAAATCACTCCTTCTCCACAATATTCCTATGGGAGAAGTGTATGGCCCAGTTCCTGCCAAAGTATGACTATGCCTGTGCTTTAACACCCACCAAACACTGTGATTACTTCTTTTTCTAAGACCCATCTATCTTGTATGGAAGCTGCTGTTTGCTGCAAGGGTGCAAAGCTGGTGAAAAAGAGGGTGAAAAGTATATTACTCATGCTGGGAAGGAGTATATATTCCTTCCCTTATCCTCATCACCTTCTTGATCTGAACGAAGGGATCTGTGGTGAATTCAATATCCTGGCACTAGAGAGAGGGGTGGAATTGCAGTGGCACTGTGGAGCTGGAACTGGTAGGGTTGGTGTGGCTCTCATGAGGGTACCACCCTGGAGCACAGGCAGCACAATGCTATCCGTGTTTAGTGATGTTGGTGACCTGTACATTCAGAATTTCACTACTGACACAGTGCTATTCAATATACACCAATATCTGGAGGTGGACTTGTTCCTTTTTCAGGTCCTCTCTTCAAAATCAAACACCAACATTCTTCATTTGTTATAATATTAACTTCTGACAAACATTTATTCATGTTAATGGGGAAGAAAGAGGTAAACTGGGAGGAAAGATGAACTTGGATAAATCCATAAAACTACTTAATGGGTGGTGTCTAGCCTAGGTCTGACTATGACCGAGTTTCAGCCAGGAATGTAGCGTGGTCGCAGATGTGATGTCTCCCTTAACACTGCCAGCAATTTGTGATTTTTTACTGTTCTCTGTATTGGGAAGCAGCTGTGGCTCACAGCTGCAGTTCTTGCTGTGAGGGTAACACAGAGTCTGGCTGATACTGTGCACTTCAAGTCTATAGATCATGATAAAATTATACAGTGGAACTTGCCAGAAATAGTAGGCTGCAATTAAAAGGATATATAGCACACTTCACAAAAACTTAACAGCATAAATTATTGTTCATAGAGACATATTGCTACTTTACTGACTACTGATACCATTCCCACCTTTTTGGCTCGTGGATATTTTGCAGATGCACACATCTGTAGTATGCAGTTATCACAGTCCTGACTTTTCTCAGGTTTTCTCTGAACATGGAAAACTGCACGCATGCGTATCATGTAGCATACACTCAGACAGATGTCACCACCAAATAATATATCCCACTGAAGAACAACACTGCAAACAGTCTTTTATCCCAGCTCTCCTACCCATCTTTACACACAAAATGAAAGTTGACATTTTGAGCTGATCTGATTTCTGAAGCTTTTTTTATTTAGAAGCCTTCATATGACATAAAAGTATCAGGTCTCCATCTGACAGAGTATCAGGTTGACTCATATCAAGTTAAACTCTCCTTCAGGCTAAGAACAAAATACCCTGACATGGTGCCACACAGAGTTAGAGTGGCAAATTCCCCAGATTATAAAACATCTGTTGAAAACCAGTTCCCTAGCACAAGGGTTATGTTTCTATTCCTCTTATTCTTTGCTTCCTTCTCCTCTGCATATACTTCACATTTCTCTGCAGTTTGATCTCTGATATTCCCTTTTAAGCTATCCTAGCATCCCAAATGTATATGGTACTAGAATATACATTTGTGGATTCAAATCACTTTTCCAAAAAGTCTTACTTATTATAAGAACAAGTAAAAGGAGAGGTAATTTTTTATAGTGAGAAGCATTTAGGGCAATACTGCACTCTGACACATTAAGGTTTTTGAGAGGAGGAAAGGCATCGGGCTTGTCATCTATGTCAATGCTCTCTATTTAAGACTAACAATTACAATGCAGTCTCTCATCTGCACAGCCTTTTGTGAACTGACATACAGCTCATTTGTTTAAATGATCAACTGAAGCACATTATGAGTCAATCAGTTCTAAGGGAAAATAAGAGCCCATACCTAAATTCATTTGCTGCAAGCAGATGGCGGATTGCTTTTCTGTCCCTTTATGCTGCAGTCCTGTTCCCTTAGATCTTCTCTACTAAGAGGGGGACATACCAGGAGGTCAGCTTTCTGACAAGGTCATCTGCCTTCAGAGTATGAAGAGAATTGCACAGAAAGTGGGTTGGGCTATATTTAGAGTTTGGTCCAACTCCTTGCCAAGGTCCCCCCCACTGTCTCTCTCTTGCAGCACCGTCTCAGGTTTATTCTTGCAGATTCTCAGCCCACAGAACACACGAGAATAGGAAAGTCACTCTGAGCTACTGCTGGATCGAGGTTTTTTGCAATTTGCTAAAAACAAGTGGATCAGCAGTTCAGATGAGAACTCCTTAAATCACTCACTCTTCCAGTCCTTATCTTTCTTTATTTAAGTGGATTTTCCCTTTTCAGTTGAATAAGGGGAGGAAACTGCCTGGGATAGAGCAAAAAGACTCTCCTGAGCTAAGGTAAGGTTGCTTCATTTTTGTATTGTCATTGTAATTACAGCTCAATTAATGATTTGGATCAGATACGCTTCTTCTGCTACACCGGTTTTGCATGTCAATATTAAGGGTATTTTTGGATAATGAAATTCTCCATGTAAAAATATAAATTCTCATTATCACTGTCTATAAGAAATGGGAAAATAAAAGGGTATCAGCATGTGTAAGAGAATATATACTATCTGATTTTTACCTGCTGAAATTACTGTAAAAAAACACACAGCCATGCCAATAGACTCTATCATTCTGAAAATGAGAGAACCCTAAATGTGTGGCTATATGCACATGGTTACATTTACAGGCATGCATTTAGATGTGCTGAGTGAAGTTTCAGCCACATTCTTTTGCACAATATGAGCAAGCATGGCAGCAAGTTTGCGATATAGGGCTTGCTGCAAATGCCACAGATATGAGTAAAAAAATAAATTAATAAATGAACACGTGCTCAAATCCCTTTATAGTTCCAAAGCTGCTCAGCTCCAGAGTACAGGCAGTATTACAGATCATATTTTATTTGGTTTCCTTTCCACTGTATGCTATGCACTGGTTCAGCATTGCTTCTCTTTTTAAAAACACGTATGGCTCAACAATTTTCCTCATTTTAAACTGTCGTGATTCTTAAGGGAAAACACCTCTGGACAGAATACATCATTGCATACCTGCCTGTTAGGAGATCCTAACACACTTCAGGTCACATGGCCATTATGATACTGAAGTGTGCATCCAACATGAGGAGAATGTTGTCATGTAAAGACACTCTGGAGCCATGGATTAAGCACTGGCACACACACACACTTTCTAATGCAACACAACCTCAGCAAGGCCACAGGAATGGTCACATGAAGAAACTGGGTAGGAAGGTCCTCTTGATCCAAAGGTCCAAACACTTATGGGACAGCACCAACTCATACTGCACAACATAATCACTGTGTAAAAGCCTTAGCAGAAGCAACTAAACAAAGGCAGACAGATTCTGCATTACAATTCAGCAAAGAGCAAGAGAAGTCACTGAGTTCAGCTAAGGTGACTGGGTGAATTCCTGTACTTATTTCAGGTTGTCTTTTCTTAATACAGCTCCTGGTTAAACAATGCCATGCATCAGGCTATTAAACATTCTAAGTTGGCAAAAGTCTTATCTGCTGAAAAAACTTTTCATTTTGCTCACTCTCAACCATGTATAATATCTTCTCATCATTTGCTTCTGATTTTGCTTAGTAATTTATGCTTGGAGTCTTGAGTGTTAAGTTTATTTGACAGAAGTAATAAACACAATCCATTTCACACAAAATACCTTCCTAGCAGTGCTAAGACTGTTTAACAAATGAAAATTATGGTAGCATGCCATGAAACCAACTTGGACTGTGTTGCATGTGATAACTCTGATTCATCCAGAAGGTTTATATTGTGAGAACTTGAGGAAGAGGCTGTTAAAGGAGGGTTACTGAAGTACTGCAAATACATTTATCAAATTTATCAGCAAGTAAAAGGCATCAGTATAAAAGCATCTAGTGCAGTCCAAGATCTGAACAATCTCTTATAAATAGTAGTTTTACATTGATAGAAAAGGGGAAATATACATCTTTATAAATTTTCAACGTTCAGGCTTTGCCTAATGAATCAACTTAGTTTTTATGACACTTTGTGGTACTATTCTCCATTTGCACATGGGAAAATATTACTTACTCTCCCATCAATATTAAAGACAGCAGGGATGTAGGGTTGGCTTAAAAAAAAGCAGTAGTGCTGTGACTGAGCTTACTAATGCAGTGCTCCCAAACACCCCCTGGCAGATGGACAGGAACACTGCTGTGTCACAGTGGCAGACAGGACTGGCTTGTTTTGAAGGAAGGCTCATCACACCCTCCCCACAGGAGCTGAGCCTAAAATGTGTCTGTCACCCAAACTGGTGGGACATTTGTTGACACGGAGATGACAGGATGGCAGCTTTGGAAAATGGCAGTATGATGATGAATATGGGCATAGCATTACCAGAAGAAGCTAGAAATAAGCACATCTGAGAGAACAGGCTTCATATTCTAAGGTAGACAAACCTCAATCTGTTTCTAACTTCTTTCTGGAGCCAATCCTACTTGGTGGGTTCTTCCTCTTCCTATTCTCTCCTCATAAAACTCCATTAAAAAATTCCAGCACTGCGAGCTAGCTTTGTCTCGCTAACGTATGGTCTCCAATGGCCACAGTATGTCCATTCTAGTGGAGACCACTATACAAGTGAAAAAAATTTTAAAACAGCTAATTAAAAGGAGGAAAATTTTTTTTTTTCTCCTCTCATGTAAGAAAGAAAGACTAAACCCCTTCATTTCTATTAGAGGGGCTGATGGGGCTGAAACCCACCTTCCTCCCTTGTGGTGGGAGGGCATGGCCATACGTATTGAATGACATGTCCAAGGCTGTGGAGGAGGAGGAAGGGAAAGACTGGCTGATGATGTATGCTGCCAGCTGGCCAGGCAAAGCTCCAAGAGGACATTCACTCACTCCTTGCTTTGGCACTGCCCCTCTCAGCTGACAGGTGTAAGCAGGACCAGAGCCAGATGGGTAAATCCAAACAGCGCCAGGGGGACAAGTCCCACCAGCAGTCAGATCCCCTGCTCCACTCACTGTATTTACCTTCTGCCTTGGGGGCTTTCTTCTGGTGCAACCAAACAACAAACAACCCTGGGATTTTAATCCCTCCCTGCCAAGCTGAGCAGACAAAAACAAGTTGGGATTTTGGGGAGAGTCAAAGCATACCTCAACAAAGACCTTTAACAAGAGGTCCTGCCAGGTGCCCCAGCACCAATGCTACACAGCTCTGCAGTCCACCTGCAGGACCCAAGACTCATCTCCACCCACCACCATCAATGCAGAACTGGTGCTGCAGCTGGCATCAAGGCAGGGACACTCAAAAGGGGCTTGGAAGAGTGTGAGAAAGTTAAAGGTAGCTCTTGGAGTCAGTCTGTGAGTACTTGGGTACAGCTCTGTGTGTATACCTGCATAAGGGAGGAACACAGAACTTGGTATGAAGACAGGTGGCTACAACTGCTGAAGGAGCTCTCCCTTAAATCCTACACTGAAATTTTCTTTCAAAACCTTTAGTGACTATTGCCACAACTTCTGAGTATACTTCCTGGGAAGGGATGGACGATGATATGCCAATATATGCTGTACAGGAAAGAGAGATACTTATAGACACATAAAAATTTAATTATTTTTAATAATTAAAAAAAGCTTTAATTAAGCAAAAAGTTAATTAAATAATTATAGTCATTCAGCTAAACAGCACTTTCCCCTAAGACTTACTAGTAATACGGACAGGGAAAGAAATCAAAGTTCATATTCACAACCAGGCACATAACCCCAACCTTTGTCTGACCTGCCTTCACAAATCTATCTTTCAAAAATAGGAAGGAAAAAACTCCAACAACATAACTTTTCCATAGGTTGCCCTGCTGGTAGAGTGATATGTCTTTGCAGAAAACTGCATTGAGGAGAGGAACAGACTCATCATCTCCATTTTCTTTCAGTCCAATACAAGTGTTGGGACTGACGGAAAGATCTCCAGCACTGGTTTTCATGTTTTGCATCACAGAATATCACTGTGGCAAACTGAGTGTTGTCTACTCAAAGCACAACAAATCTTCATGCTTACAACTAAGCACAGTAAGGCACAGGACAAGAAATGCCCTGGAACAGTGAGGTGCTCCTCAGGCCTGCAGCACCACACTGCTTGGCAGCTGCAAATGCCAGCTTTAAACTCAGGAAAACTGCAAGCAGACCACAATCTGCTACACTCAGTGCCCTACTTCTTGCCCAGATAACTTTGTGATCCTACTCAGTACAATTTTCTGGCTCTCAGTCCTTACTTTGGTGATTATTCAGGATGGGTATACAACCCATTCACATGAGAAGATGAAGCTCGTCAACTTTAAAACAATTTCCAATGACAACCCCACCTACACAGTGTGGCATTAAGCTATGCAAGAAGAAACAGTTAAAATCTGGATTATATAAAACTGACACAAATTTCTTATCTTCCATTACATAAGCCTAACTTCTTTCAATTGCAGCAAATTCACAGTGACCACTACTGATGCTAAAATGCCACAGAAAGTAATCCAACAACACTTCTGTGAGTTCTTCTGTGTCAAACACCAGAGGGTGAAAGTGCATATAGATAGCTGCAAAACAGTAAATTACAATTTTAAATAAAATTATACATAGTCCTGTTAGAAGAAATCCTTGGAGGTGAACTTTCTTACTTTCACTCACAGCCAGCTTTTTAGTATACCAATCTGATCTGCAGGCATTCACTTCAACAGGAGAACAGAGTCCAATCCCTAGCACAAATAACATTGCAAAAACAAACAAACAAACAAACAAAATCAGTATTTACAACATGGTTGTATTTTAGCACAGTCCTCATGCACTTTTCTTAATCACAAATAATATTGTGGGTGAATATAAGAATGAAGGAGGGAAAAAACCCTCTAAATGGATGTCAATTAATTGAGATACTCTCCCTAAAGAAACAATGTAAAAATCATGTAGAAAGTACAGTAAAAATAGGCATTTTACACCATCTTGTCTGTCTTTAAGAATACTCAATTTAAATAGCAAATGAGCAGCAGCCACTCTTCCTGTCACTGCATCTTCCTTTGCTAACACAATGCTTAGAGATGTCATCCAGTACAACTTGATGGATGTCCGCTCTCACAACACCTGCCTGAAAGAGGAGGATGGCAAGGAGGAAGGCAAGGAAGTCCCACTTGGGAAGAAAGTGAGACTGTACAGGATGAACTTGTCAGTATATGAGAAAAATGAAGGGTTGAGATGATGTGTCAGGGCTCGTGTGCTCAAGCACCTGCTGTTGCTGTGCAGTTCTTCTCACTCAGCCAAGCCAAGGGGATGCATATTCCTTGCTGCACATTCACCCACTCACCAGCACCAACCCACTTAGAAGGAAACAC